AAAAGCAAAATAAATTATGTTTATTATAAAGACCAAAATTTTCCAGCAAGTCCAACCACTACTAAGCTTTAAATTAGTGAGAAAAGAAGCTGGAAATAAGTGAGAGGAAGGATGCTGGAGCATCTGCCATGTCAGAATTACCTCCAGCGCCCAGAAGAACAGGTAAAAGACCCCGTTTTTTTTGTCCGACTGTGCACAGAGGGATCTGTGCCAGGGATGTCGCTTAGCACAGACGCGGATCTGGCTTTTCTGTTCTGGGATGGGGAGGAGAGGCAGAAACCATATTTTGACTCCTGGGACTATTCAGCAGAATAATCCCTTGAGGGTAATCCCAGAAGCTGTGCTCCCTCCCCAGGGACTGTCCTCCGAACCCATGGGGTGAAGACAGACTTTGATGTCCAGCTTCCACCAAGTGAGGAGAACCCGAGACCAATTTCTTGTCCAAAGCAATCCCCGGCATCTTCAGCAGCAGAAAGACTCCCAGGGCTGAGCAGGTCACCATGGTCTGCTACCACCAGGAGCCTTACGAGGCTAAAGATGAAGGTTCACCTCTCCATCTGCTCCTTCTGTGCCACCTCAGCAAGCTTCCGCCCAGGATGACTGAGCCACATCAACATCCATCCCAACAGGGCTGGCTGTGCTGATCTCACCATCGCTCCCTCCTCAGCTGGGACGTGTCCTGCTGCTTCCAATGCTGAAACCACCCGAGTGAACAGGTCCCCAGGCAGAGCATCCCTTGGGACAGTAACAGCAGACAGCAATGGGGACAACGCAGAAGACCACAAGGAAGAGGACCTCAGGTCTCCCTATCCCTGCCATCGTGCACAGAGATGCTGCAGGCTCTTCCCAGAGATGCACGTGTTTCTTCACCGGTGCCAACACCTCAAGACGTTCAGCCAGCTGCAAAGGGTGGCTGATGTGCTGTTATCACCTCTTCTGCCTCTGCCGTGTCACCTCTCTTCTGTCATCCACCTCCACCACGGGACCGGACATGTCCTCTGCCACCAGCTCCACTGCTGAAACACCAACACGGGTTCAGGTGCTGCCTCCTCCCCGCTGGCTGTTTGCCACGACGGGCTGAGCCCACTGCCAGGGCTGGCAGGAGGGAGGATGGTGCTTCAGCCCTCCGATGGAGAGAAAGGGGCTGTGGCATGCAGGAAAAGAGGGGCTGGGGGCTTTTCTGTGCCATGTAAACGGCATAAAGAGGACACCATGCATGTGGAAACATCTTTAATCCGGAAAGTGCTTCCAGATGATGCAACTTCCAACTCCTGCCAAGGGGCTGAGCATACGCCCAGTGCTCCCCAGCTGGGGCAAGGACAGCTCTCCTGGGCACTCCCAGGCAGCGTGGGATGGGTAAAACCAGGGTGAGAAAACCCAAAAGAGATACTAACGCTGCCCCACATAGGCTGACCCAGCCCCAGAGCCTGGGCTGAGGACCCAGATCTTGCTTGGGGACAGTGATTCCCCCTGGGCTGGGCTTTTGGGGGCTGGTGATGGGCCACTGCAGTGGCACAACCTTCTATCTGAGCCTGCCTGAGGAGAGACGCAGTCCTGGGGAGCTGAAACCTCCTTGTGTGGGAACTGGTGAGTCTCGGGCTAACATCCCAGTCACTATTTTTCCAGCAGAACACAGTCGCTTGAGTCCTACCCAGGTGGCCCACAGCCTCGTCACAGGTACGTGATCTCGATGACGTTGGGCTCAGCGCTCGCACAGGGAAGGTGATGCTTGCAGGAGCACTGGCAGCTCACGCCGGCCGCATCCACACCGCCCGGCTCCCACTGGCAAGGCTGGGCAGGCAGCTTCTTCTGGGAGCCCAGCTGCTTCCAGTCCGTGAGGTGCACCCCATCGTCCAGGTCCTGCGGCATGGGCTCATGGTAGAGGGTGATCTGGACGGTGCGGAGGTGAGGGCCGTAGTGCACCACGATGATGATGAAGACGGCCAAGAGGACGAAGATGACGACAATCACGGAGATCACGGGCAGGGCATCGGATTTCTTCGTCACGCTCCTGACAACGGAGACGGGCGTGAAGGCGGCCGCCTCCTGGGGCTCAGGCTGTCTTAGCTGGCTGCCGGGCGCGGAGGCATTCATGGCTGAGCAGGCTGACCTGGGACAGAGAAAGGCAGGGTGGAAAGGGGTGGCTGCTGAGCAGAGGTTGTCTGATGTCCTCATCTCCTGCCCTCAAGTCAGCGGCTGCTGCCTTCCCCTGCAGCTGCTGGGGAATGGGACCATCCCGTAACTGCTCCCTGCCTCGGGCTTGCAGGACAGGATAAATTTTGGTGGTGGTGCCTGGGGTTGTAGGGACGGCACGCTGGACACGTTCAGCCAGGGAGGCCGTGCCCTGCATCCCCTTGTCCTGGACACCTTCGGCGTGGGGCTCTTCTCCCCACCACACCTCGCTCCCCGGAGGAGAGCCCTCCACCCTCCCCTCTTTGCCCCCAGCCCCATGGTGCTAACCCAAGACCAAACCCCGCAGGGACCTCCCTGGGAGATCCAACCCCACCGAAACACACCACGAGGCATCCCTCGCCACAGCCACTGACTCCTCGGGAGCCAGCACGGGGGGAGCAGGGCTGAGAGGAGGGAGGGGGAGCCCTCCCCAGCCGCGCAGGGGTACCTCGGTGTCCCCGTTGCGTGGCAGTCGTCATCTCCAGCGGCGAGGCGGAGAAGCTGACGGCAGGACCAGCAGAAAAGC